CGGTTTCGCCCGTTTGCAGCGGAGGGACCGCGGCAGGAAGGGTGCAAGTACTGGCGCAGGTGAACCTGCCTAGGGAGCGAGTCAGAACCCGATCCGGTGGGGCCTCACCCTCCGGCCTCTTCTCCGTGCTCGCCTCCCTCCGGCAGACCCGGCCACGGCTCCTCGGCCCTCCGCCCGCCCCGCAGACCCAGCCTCTGCAGCTCTGGTCAGGGAAGGAGGGAGAGTGGGCCGAGGACCCGCTCCACCCAGCCTGCACCACTCACGGCCGCCCGGCGCTTCCTGGTCCTCAGCGCCCCCCGCCCCGCCTCCGCCCATGCAGGACACACCCAGGGCTGCGTCGGGTGGAGGAGCCACCCAGCACCCACGGCAGGGCATGCCTCCACATGCAATCACGGGTGGCAGTGTGCACTAACCGGTGTGCATGGGTTCCTGGGGCAGGGCTGTGACTCCACCTTCACATAGACCCGTGGTTCCCAGCGTGGGCACACGCCCACAGGGGGGCAATTTGATTTTTAAGGGTGCAATTCGAAAATGAGTTATTAACAGTGAACTTTTTCATTTCTTATGGTTCTAGGGGCCTCATATACAATATATAAATATATATTCTGACACTTATGCATTTCAGTTCTCTGTTATATCTTTTGAAACTGTATTTTCTATTTTTTCATGTCACTTCATATTATTATTTTTTCAACAATTTCTTAGTAATTTCTTCCTCAGTACTTCACCTGTCCTTTCGTTCTGTTATTTTTCTCTTTCATGGGTGCCCTGTTTTTGGAAGCTTCTTTAGACCAAATCAATGGCCTTTTAGGCTTCCTCCCGTGAATAGTAGCTCCCTTTTTAATAAGAATTCTGGATGTTAGAGATGCTCAGGTGGGGCGTGGCCAGAAGGTTGGGGACCACTGGTTCTAGACGGAAGGCAGAGCTGATAAACACTGGTATTGGGGTAGTGCTGAACAAGGGGTACAGGCCCCAGACAGACCAGCAGTTCCTGTCCAGGGGCCCAAATGATGGTGCTTCAGAGAAGACAGGTGCTTCAGAGGAGACAGTCCTGGCGGGGAGTGTGTGTGTGTGTGTGTGTGTGTGTGTGTGTGTGTGTGTGTGTGTACTAACTGCCTCTGGCAGAAGAGATGACTGCTGAGCTGGATTCTAAGAAATAAGTCCAGGCCAATTGGCTTGGCTCAGTGGATAGAGCATTGGACCAAAGGGTCCTGGGTTCGATTCCAATCAAGGGCTCCTCCCAGCCTGGGCCCTGGTCAGGGCGCATGCAGGAGGCAACCAATCAATGTGTTTCTCTCACATCAATATTTCTATCTTTCCCTCTCCCTCCCACTCTCTCAAATCAATGGGGAAATATCTTTGAGTGAGGGAGAGAGAGAGAGACAGAGAGAGCACATGCACGAGCGCCCAGGAGGGGAAGTCCAGGCAGCAGGGACAGTGGTGTGTGCGCACTGTAAGAGATATTCTGAAAGGGGAACAGAAAGTCTGGGAGAGGGAGGAGAGTCACTCAGTGAATGTGGGCTCAGATGTGGCATGCTGGGCCTGGGGACTCCTCTGGCTTCCCCGCTTACTTCATCGTGTGGGGCCGGGGCCGAGGGGCCTGCAGCAGTGACTTGCCCCAGCTCAGAGCAGGCTCCCTCCCCCTGGGTATGACAGTCCTGTCAGCTTTCTTAAATCTTTAGGGGTTTTTTGTTTGTTTGTTTGTTTTTTTATTTCAGAGATGGAGAGAGAAATATCAATGATGAGAGAGAATCATTGATTGGCTGCCTCCTACACAGCCCCACTGGGGATGGAGCCCACAACCCGGGCCTGTGCCCTAACTGGGAATCGAACCGTGATTTCTTAGTCCACAGGCCCATGCTCAGCCATTCAGCGCCCCAGGCGGGCCATGTCAGCTTTTTGGTAACATAGGATTGACTGGCCTCTTGTGGCCTGGGGTCCGGGGGGCGTGCTCCTGTGCTCTGTCACCTGACCTTAGGATGGGGACCAGCCTGGATCGCCTCTGCCCTGGCACAGCCCGACAGGTGGCTGTGTGGGAGTGTCCTTGGAGCCAGGAAGGGCAGCCGCGGGGGAGAACAGGCCATTTCAGAGCTCACTGGGCTGGGGAGGGTGTTTGCGGGGAGGCATTGGTGGAGAAATCGCGGTTGCTTCTTGGTGGCGGGGCGAGGGCACCTAACTGAGAGCTTGTGCAATCACTTCTCCAGCCCGGCTTCCTCTTGCAGCTTCGCCCGGTGCAGCTGAAACCTGAGGAGCTTCCTTGGCAGAGACCCCCAGGCTCCTGCACTTCACTGGCCCTGGATTCGCTGCTCATCTCCTTAGCAACCAAGGAAATTTACAGACCAACGGATAGGTGCTTTAGTCACAGGCGTTTGCATTTTCAAAGAGAAAGCATAAAGATGAAGAATCTTAAGAAAAACAATCTAATGGTGAAATGTGCTCTCCCGTGTGGCTCAGTGGGTAGAGCATCAGCCTGTGGACCCAAGGGTCCTGGGTTTGATTCCAGTCAAGGGCACGTGCCAGGCTGTGATCTCTATCCCTAGTAAGGGGTGTGCAAGAGGAAGCCAATCAATGATTCTCTCTCACCATTGATGTTTCTCTCTCTCTCTCCCTTCCTTTCTGAAATCAATAAAAATAGATTTTTAAAGTAAAATTATAAAACAACAAACAAATATTGGCATCACTTTGGAAAGAAGGTGGCATCTAGAATGCCCCCAAAACTAACTAGAATTTCAGGGGCTGGATTTCTTTACATTTCCCCCTCCCACCCTCCACCCCAACAGAAACAAAGTCAGTGCATCTCCAGGCAAAAACACCCATCTAGACGGGGCCTGACCCAGCCCAGCAGGAAGCTCCATGAGCGCAGCCGGCACTCCGCCGCTGGCCCGGTGGGTGCACCCTGCTCTCCGGCCCGGGCTCAGGGTCCGAAGGGACGCGGGTGAGACAACGCCCACTTCTTGCCGTCCTGCCGCCAGCCCACAGGGACTTCTGGACAGTTCTGACTCCAAAGCTCAGGCTGCCAGGCCCAGCTGCTGTCCTGGTGGCTGATGGCTTCGCCCTCGTAAGTGTGGCCCCGAGGGGAGGAGAGAGGAAGAGAAGGGAGAACAGGTGAGGTCAGTGCGGTCTCCTGGCTCATCCTGGGGCTTAGGTTGCAGGTTGGAGCCTACTTCTCATCCCCATGGGCACCGGGGCCGTCAGCTCTGAGGAGAAAGCGTATCCCTCTGCTGAGACACACCACGGCCGCAGACACAGGCCGCACCCGGCCCGGGGGCCCCCGTATCCCTGTCGATGTCAAGGACGAGGAGCAGAGAGGCAGGAGACCTGGCTCCTGTCCATCTTCGTTAGCTAAGGGCCCGGACAGTGCTTTAATCCATGTCTCAGGGTTCCCATCTGCAAATGGATTGCCATGAAGGACGCAGGACTGTCATGGGACTCCCTTGAGATGATAAGCAGGAAGCGTTTGTAAGATGTAGAACATGGTCTAGATATCCACCAGATGCCCGTTTCCTAGGTGACACATGCTGAGGACTGGCTGCCCTGCTGTGGGCTCCCTAAGCCACAGCTCCCTGCCTGTGCTTTGAAGACCCCTCCCAGCCCTCAGGTCAGACCCACACACTGTACACACCACACACTACAAATATAGGCTTTATTAATGACGGTGAACCCACACGTCCCGGCCTCTGGGGGACTGCGGCGGTGAGAAGGTAGAGCGGTCTGCGCACAGTAATGGAGGAGAGAGGAGCCAGGCCCGGGGCCAGTGGCTGAGCGTCCTCCTACAAACCAGGTCACGGCTCAATCCTTAGGGCCCATGCCTGGGGTGCGGGCTCCATCCCCAAGGGGCGTGTGCAGGAGGCAGCCAAGTAATGACTCTCTCCCATCATTGATGTTTCTGTCTCTCCCCCTCTCTGAAATCAATAAAAATATATGTTTATTAAAAAGGGAAGAAAAGAGTCCTAGGGAAGGAAAATCAGTCCTGGACCCGCTCCAGGAGTCTGACCCTGGAGCTCAGGGCGTGCCCGGGGGAGAGAGGTGGGCATGAATGAGCGCACGCAGCTGGGGAAGGAACGGAGGAGTGAGAATGCCAGTGTGGCACACAGGGCCCTGGTGGCAGTGGCCGAGGCCAATGATACTCCTGCTTGTGCTTGTGTCAGGCCCTGAACTCCAGGGAAGGAAGGCCCCGTGCCACTCCCGGCTCTGGAGGAAGGGAAGCCTGAGGGCAGAACCTATAGACCGAAGATGCCCTGGACAACATGGCTTCACCCTTCCTGCCAGAGCAGGACCGGGGAGGGTGGCGCTCCTCCCTGCGGCTCCCGCCAGCACCAGGCCACCCACGTGGTGTGAGGCTGAGAGGCCTGGTCCCAGGTCTGTGCCTGGGCTCCTGAGAGGCGGGCATGGCAGGCCGGGGGAGTAGAGGAGGGCGGCCTGGCTTCTCCCACTCAGCCCGTTGGGGGTGAGTTCTGCAGCCGGGCAGGCGGGAGACAGTTATTGCAGAGATGCCACCCGGCTGCGCAGCCAGAGGGCGGAGGGGGAAGGGCACCAGGGCCCACGCGCTCCCATGTCCAGGCCCGGGGGGCAGGGAGGGGTGCAGACAGAAACCCAGCTTCTGTCCAGCAGATTGTCCAGCAGCAAGGGGGGAGGAGGGAGTCTGCAGAGCCCTTCCCACCCATTCTCACGCCCACTCGGGACTTCGGGCATCGTCAGGGCCCAGCCCTGGACCTCCACTTTCTGACAGTGTGGCTGGGACCCCCAGAGGGTGCCAGGCCGGAGGGAGCATGACGGCCCGTGATCTTTGCATGCAGGCTGAGGAGAGGGGGGAAGCTACAAACCGCTTCCTGGAAGACGCCTGGGCACAGCACGGAGGGCTGAGCCCGCGCCAGGCCCGGCGGGGAGAACGGCCGCTGGCCTGGGGGGAGCCGACAGAGGGCAGGCAGGGGGCCAGCACCCAGGGTCAAGTCCACAGGTTTAAACAGGCCCAAAGGCGGGCAGCCACTCCGGGCCGGCCTCTATCTCTCCGACTTGACCCGGTACCTGAGCACGAGGTACGCCAGCAGCCGCAGAGCCAGGAAGAAGATGCCTAAAACCAGGAAGTCCACGTAGAGCTTGGCGTCCTCCACGTCCAGTGCTCGGAGGATGCTCTGTGGCTCCCGGAGCGGGCAGCGCTCCTCCCGGAGCGGGCAGGCCAGGTCCCCGCGCCCCAGGCCGTACACGGTCAGGATCACACCCTCGAAGCCATACCTGGGCGAGCAGGGGTGTCAGAGCGGGGCAGCGTGGAGGGCCCTGCCTCGGAGGGGGGCAGCGTGGAGGGCCCTGCCCTGGGAGGGGGGCAGCGTGGAGGGCCCTGCCCTGGGAGCGGGGCAGCGTGGAGGTGTCTGCCCTCGGAGGGGGGCAGCGTGGAGGGCCCTGCCCTCGGAGGGGGGCAGCGAGGAGGGCCCTGCCCTCGGAGCGGGGCAGCGTGGAGGGCCACACACAGCCCTGCAGGCCGCTCCCTGCACAAGGACACCTGGTCAAGGGTTGCCCCGGAGCTCTGCCGGGGGCGCCGGCCGCACTGACCTGACGTAGGAGAGGTAGGAGCTCCACTGCAGGTAGGCAGGGATGGTCTTGAAGCTGACGAAGAAGCCGGAGAACAGGAGCACCGGGATGGCGGTCACCGGGCCCACAAACGTGGCCACCTGGGGGCGGGGCCGGCCATCCCGGTGAGCAGGTTCCTGCAGGTCTGCCACTCCTGGGCCAGCCCGTCCTCCCCTCCCAGGCCCCAACGCCAGCCTTCCCACCTGCAGGGAGTTGGAGGCGGCTCCGATGAGCAGCCCCAGAGACTGGGCCACCAGCGCCGTGGCCGTGGCCAGGGCCGAGAAGAGGAGGAAGCGGCCGGTCTCCGCGGGCTGGCCCGTCATCCAGTACACGATGCTGCAGTACAAGGCGGGGCACACCACCTGGGGGCGCACAGGGGGGCCTGGAGCAGCCCTTCCTGGGGCTCGGGCCCAGTCCTGCCCTCACTCCCTTCACGCTGCCCGGGCATGTGTCCTCCTCCCTGGCCACGTGGCCTCACGCCTCGTCCGGGCACAGCTCCTCCAGGTGCCGGACGGCGGGGGCAGAGCTTCTCCCCGGCTCCCCGGCTCCTGCCTCGGTCGTTAACTGGTTAATTGTACACGGGAGTTTTGTCCGCTTGTTACTAACTCCTGAAGGGCCAGGACCAAGCCTACCACACACAGCCCTGCAGGCCGCTCCCTGCACAAGGACACCTGGTCAAGGGCAGCCCCCTGAGGAGGCGCCCCCTGAGGAGGCACTGCGAGCTGTGTGTCCTCCCCGGAGGATATCCTCCCGCTGGTGTAGAGGGAGGGAGGGGAGCGACAGGGAGACAGGGATGTGAGAGACACACCAACTGGTTGCCTCCTGCAGGCACCCCAGCTAAGGTATGAGCCTTGACCAGAATCGAACCCAGGACCCTTTAATCCACAATGCTCTACCACTGAGCCACACCAGCCAGGGCAAGGGGCACCTTTGACTGATTCACACAAAGGTGCCATGTGGGTTCCTGGGGCCCCAGGGCTTGAAGCAGGGCGATGGGGCAACAACAGCCCAAACAGCTAACCGTCGGACACACGTGTGCGCCACGCAGCACTCTCAGTTCTGGGCACGCTGCAGCTCATGTCATTCTCACCGCTGCTCCCAAGCTCGGTTCCATCATCACCCATTTCACAGAAGGGACTCTGAGGCAGGCAACCTGCCCGAGTCTCCCAGCGCTCCCAGCAGCAGGGCTCCGGGGCCTGCACTGTTCTCTACACTTCAAATAAGAATCACGGAGTCACCCTAGCTGGTGTGGTTCAGTGAGTAGAGCATCAGCCTGTGGACCGAAGGGTCTCGGGTTTGATTCCAACCAAGGGCACATGCCTGGGTTGTGGGCTCCATCCCCAGTGTGGGATGTGCAGGAGGCAGCCAATCAATGATTCTCTCTCATCATTGATGTTTCTCTCTCTCTCTCTCTCCCTCGGCCTTCCTCTTTGAAATCAATAAAGAAATCTCTCTATATAAAAAGAGGTAATATGCAAATTAGGCCAGGACTCTGTAACGGGTCATGACGGACAGGAGGAGGTTGTGCACGCAGGTGAGGCCTGGAGCAGAGACAGAGACAGAGGCAGGGGGCTCTGGAGCGGACACAGGCAGGGGCTGCACTGTGTGGTGTGGGCTCACGCAGCCTGGGCTCGGGCCTTGCAACCCTGTGGCTGGCAGTGGGGCAGCAGCAGCGGGATGATGGGGGCACCACCTTCCCTGACCGGCCGGCTGCCTCCCAGAGAGGGAGCCAGACTGTGGCGAGGCCCGCTCGCCAAGGAGCCGTAGGACATCCCCGAGGCTCCGGGGCTGTGAGAGGAGCGGGCAGTGCACACGTTTCCACGCAGCGGGACTCCTGTGTATATTTACGTTTATATGTGTACCAGAGGCCCAGCGCACAAAGTTCCTGCACTTGGGGAGCGTCCCTCAGCACAGCCTGTGCCCTCTCAGTCTGGGAGCCCTGGGGGATGTCCCACTGACAGCTTAGGCCTCCACCATTGCCACTGCACTCGCCGATCATGAGCCTGGCTTCTGGCTGAGCTGCACTCCCCCTGCGGGAGCACACTGACCACCAGGGGACAGCTCCCTGCACTGAGCATCTGCCCCCTGGTGGTCAGTGGGTCATAGTGTCTGGTCGTTCTGCCACTCTGTTGATTTGCATATTAGTTTTTTATTATATAGGATATATATTTTACCTAATATTAGACAAACATGTAAATCGACCGTACCTCTTCTATGCCACCAGCCAATCAGGAGTGACATGCAAGTTAACTCAACAATGATGGTGATTAATTTGCATACACAAGCGCTGCGCTGAGGGACAGGGGTGGGACACTTGCGTTGTCACCATGGCGACAATGTAAGCGTTCTGCATCCCCCTCCCAACCCTGTCTCTCAGGGCCTCTGGGCAGCATGGGAAGGGGGGGCCTGAGCGGAGAGGGGCGGGGCTGGAGCGGAAAGGGTGCCGGCCGCCAGGGAAAGGAAAGCCCATTCCAGCACGAATCTCCGTGCATCAGGCATCTAGTGTGTACATATATTTATACTTATATATATTATATTTATATATTTTTTAAAAAGACTGTCCATCTTGCTCACTACTACGTCCCTGCCTGGCACGGAGCATGGTGCACGGCAGGTCCTCACCACCCGTTTTTGAAGTGAAGTGAGTAGAAGGAAAGGAAAAGATGACGGGAGACAAGGGGGAGGGAGGCAAGCAAGCGAGGCTGGGGCGGGCAGGAGCGAGGAGGGAGGGAGGGGCGGCAGGTGGAGGGAGGGCTCACCTGGAAGGGCACGTCGGCCATGGTCTTGGCCAGGTAATAGGCCTTGAGGCTGTACCAGTAGTTGAGATGTTCCCTCATGAAGACTGCCATCTCTAGGGGGACTGAGGACGAGCAGCGATCAGGCTCCCGCCCTGCCCGCACCCGCCCCTGCCCGCGCCCGCCCCTGCCCGAGCCCCGCCCCTGCCCGCACCCGCCCCTACCCGCACCCGCCCCTGCCCGCACCCGCCCCTACCCGCACCCGCCCCTGCCCGCACCCGCCCCTACCCGCACCCGCCCCTGCCCGCACCCGCCCCTGCCCGCACCCGCCCCAGCCCAGCACCCGCCCGCCGGGCAGCTCTCCTCACAGGTGAGCACGGTGGGCATGAGGGCGGCGAACATGAGGAAGAGCATGGAGAAGAAGAGGCAGCCCGTGTTGTTGAAGACCTTGCTGGCGTCGTCCCCGATGTGCAGGTAGAGGAGGCCAATGAGCACACCGATCACCACGTGGGACACGAGCCGCAGGTGGGTCAGCACCTGTGGACGGTCATCCAGGGGCGGTGGCCACGGGCGGCAGGGGCAGCGCTGGGGCAGCTCAGAGCGGCCTCGACAGGGCCCAGTGCTGCTGCGACCCTGGCCCCCTGGCCCGGCGCCAGCCCCCGCCTGAGCCTCACCGTGTCCCGGAGGATGGACAGGAAGGTCCTCCGGAAGAGGATGCAGAACTGGGTGAGGGTGCTCGTGGCAAAGCTGTGGCTCTCTATGGGGTCCAGTTCCTGCGAGAGGAAACGGGTCCCTGACCACCGACACCCCAGCCACACACCCACCCACACCCACCCACTCACTCCCACACCCCCACCCACACACCCACCCACTCACTCCCACACCCACCCACACACCCATACCCACACCCACCCACTCACACCCACACCCACCCACACACCCAGCCACACACACACCCACCCACAGCCACACACCCACCCACACCCACCCACTCACTCCCACACCCACCCACACACCCACCCACTCACTCTCACACCCACCCACACCCACCCACACCCACCCACACCCACCCACACACCCAGCCACACACACCCACACCCCCACCCACACACCCACCCACACCCACACCCACCCACACCCACCCACACCCACCCACACCCACCCACACACCCACCCACACCCACCCACACCCACCCACACCCACCCACACCCACCCACACCCACCCACACCCACCCACACACCCACCCACACCCACCCACACCCACCCACACACCCAGCCACACACACCCACACCCCCACCCACACACCCACCCACACCCACCCACACACCCACACCCACCCACACCCACCCACACCCACCCACACCCACCCACACACCCACCCACACCCACCCACACCCACCCACACCCACCCACACACCCACCCACACCCACCCACACCCACCCACACCCACACACCCACACCCACCCACACCCACCCACACCCACCCACACCCACCCACACACCCACCCACACCCACCCACACCCACCCACACCCACACCCACCCACACACCCAGCCACCACCCACACCCACCCACACCCACACACTCAGCCACACACCCACACCCACCCACACACCCAGCCACACCCAAACCCACACACCCAGCCACACACCCAGCCACCAGGAATCGAACCGTGACCTGGTTCACAGGTCGACACTCAACCACTGAGCCCGCAGCCGCCGCTCTCTCACAGTAAGACCCGTGGCAACGACCACGGGAGGAGCGGGGGTGCTGAGGGCGCTGGGGGCGCTGGGGGCGCTGAGGGCGCTGGGGGTGCTGAGGGCGCCAGGGGCACAGCTGCTGCCAAGAGCTCTGTGATGGTCTTCGCTGCCCTGGCAGCCCTGAGCGCTTGCCGCAGCTCCTCTGGCCGGAGCACAGCCGGCCACCAGGCCACCGAGCCACCCGGCCACCGAGCCCCGGGCCACCCGGCCTCCCAGCCACCAAGCCACCGAGCCCCCGGTCACCTCGCCTCCCAGCCATCGAGCCACCGAGCCCCCGGCCACCTGGCCTCCCAGCCACCGAGCCACCGAGCCCCCGACCACCCGGCCTCCCAGCCACCCGGCCTCCCAGCCACCGAGCCCCCGGCCACCCGGCCTCCCAGCCGCCCGGCCTCCCAGCCACCGAGCCCCCAGCCACCTGGCCTCCCAGCCACCGAGCCACCGAGCCCCCGGCCACCAGGCCTCCCGGCTTCCCGGCCACCGAGCCCCAGGCCACCGGCACCAGGCCACCCAGCCACCCGGCCACCAAGTCCCCGGCCACCCGGCCTCCCAGCCACTGAGCCCCCGGCCACTGAGCCCCCGGCCACCCGGCCTCCCAGCCACTGAGCCCCCAGCCACCGAGCCCCCGGCCACCCAGCCACCCGGCCTCCTGGCCTCCCAGCCACTGAGTCCCCGGCCACCGAGCCCCCGGCCACCCGGCCACCCGGCCTCCCAGCCACGGAGCCCCCGGCCACCGAGCCCCCGGCCACCCAGCCACCCGGCCTCCTGGCCTCCCAGCCACCGAGCCCCCGGCCACCAGCCCCAGGCCACCCGGCCTCCCGGCCTCCCGACCGCCCAGCCACCCAGCCTCCCGGCCACAGGCAGCGCAGCGGCACCGGCTGGCCACGGACAGCACCTGCAGCCGCGCAGCCACACCCGGCAGCGGGCAGAGCACCGGCCTGGCCGAGGGCAGGGCCCACGCCTGCTCCGGGTGTACCTGGACTCTGGCTCCTGGTACAGCCCGACAGGGTTGCACGGGAGGAACCCTCACATCAGTGTTTCTCTCCCTCTCTGCCCCCTCCCTTCCACTCCATCAGAAGCCATGAAAACATCCTTGGTGAGGATTCAAAACTAATAATAAAATCTCAAACGCTGGCGGAAGGAGCGCCCGCAGGAGAGCGCAGGTCCCATCGGGGGAAGCCGCTGCTCCGGCGGCAGCCTGGCCCCGGTGCTGCCCGGCTGCCCCCCTCGCCTCCCCACTCACCAGCGGGCAGGGGGGGCCGGGGTCAGGGGCCGCATTCTTCTCGAGGCTCTTCTTCTCGCTGGCGCACAGCCCGCTCTGCACGGCCCGGAACAGCATGGGGTTCAGGTCTCCGTACTCGCCAGAGGCCACCTCGATAACTGGGACACGGAGCGGGCACGGCTGAGCTCCCGCCTCCTTCCCAGGGCCAGCTGGGTGCAAGGTAAGGCGGGAGCAGGACCCAGCCCGCCCGCCCGCCCGCCCGCACTCACTGAAGTCGGCGGGGTTGTGGTAGGTGGGGCAGTGCAGGCCCAGGCCCTTCAGGTAGGGGACCAGCTTGGTGGCCAGGCCCTTGAATATGCACTGGCCCTGGCTCAGGATGTAGAGCTGAGCGGAGGGGGGAGACACCGAGGCTCAGGGGCCGGCCGCACCGCTGCGTGTCCCCCCCCCCCCGGCCCCCGCACCCTGAGGCCAGGGACACGCACCTGGTCGAACATCTCGAAGAGCTTGGCGCTGGGCTGGTGGATGGTGCAGATGACCGTGCGGCCGCCCTGGGCCAGCGACTTCATGAGGGACACCACCTGGAAGCAGGACGCGCTGTCCAGCCCGCTGCGGAGAGAGGTCGGGAGGGAGGCGTGCGGGTTGGGTGGAGCCTGGCAGAGGCAGTGCTGGGGGCGGGGGCAGCTACTACACAGGGGCTGGGCTGGCAGGAAGGGTCCCTCTGGCCGCCCCTCTGCCCGGACACACTGTGATCCAGACATTTGGAGGGACCAAGCCTCATGTGACAGCACCCATGGAGCACCTAGTGAGACCACGAGGAATAAACAGGAGGCAGAGAGGCGGAACATGCTGTGAAAACAGGAGTGAAAGAGAGGCCGGTTCAGCCCTTCAGGAGAGCGAGAGAAGGTTCTGGAAGGAGAGCACGCTAAGCCAGGTGAAGGGGAAAGGCAGGCATGGGGAAGGCATTCCGGGCGGAAGACACAGCACGTGCAAAGCCAGGGGCGTGAGTCACACGGCCCAGCTCAGCGGCTCTGACAATCGGAGCCACTAGAGCGGCATCCCGGACAGCTGACAGACCGCTGGGCGGGCGGAGTGAGGCTGCGGCCCTGTCCGGAGGGCAGGTGGTGTCACAGTTCTCAGGGGGAGATCGCCAGGCTTGGCTTCCTTTTTTTTATCCTCACCGGAGGGTATCCCATTGTTTTAGAGGGAGTGGGGGAGACAGGGAGAGACAGAAACGTGGATGTGAGAGAAACACATCCGCTGGCTGCCTCCCGCAGGAGCCCCCCAGGGCTGGGAGCGGTCTGCAGCCCAGGTGCGTACGTGACTGCAATCAAGCCGGCCCCTGAGGTGTGCAGGCCGCGCTCCACCACTGAGCACACCGCCAGGGCTGAGCGTGGCTTCTAGGAAGCTCACTGCCGCGGAGGGAGGATGGAGAGAGGCTGAGGAGGGCAGGGAGCAGCCTGCGGAGATGCGGGGTGGTTGGTGGTGAACTTGGCACCGGGGAGGGGCTGGGAGCTAGCGCTGGAGAGGAGCGGGTCTGCAGGACTGGGTGGCTGGCTGTGGCGGAGGAGGAGAGGGGGCGTCAGGCAAGGAGGCCGGGTTCTGCCTGTGGAGCGCGGGCTGCTGGGGGGCCGGCGGGGAGGGAGGCGGAGGGCAGCCCGGCCTCCGCAGCCTCCGTGAGCGCGGCAGGAGGGGGCACCTGGTGGGCTCATCGAAGAACATGACGGGCGGGTTGTTGACCAGCTCCAGGGCGATGGCCAGGCGCTTCCTCTGCCCGCCGGAGAGCAGGGCTGTCCGCGTGTGGGAGCAGGCCAGCAGGCCCAGCGCCGTCAGGATCTCCGTCACCTGCCGGCCCAACATCAGCTTCAGCCCCTGCTGCCTGGCACCACCCCACTGACTGACTTATTTAAAAAAACATCTCTTTTATTGATTTCAGAGAGGAAGGGAGAGGGAGAGAGAGATGAAAACATCAGTGAAGAGAGAATCATGAATTGGCTGCCTCCTGCACACCCCTTACTGGGGATCGAGCCCACAACCTGGCATGTGGCCTTGACTGGAATCAAACCTAGGACCCTTCAGTCCGCAGGCCGATGCTCTATCCACTGAGCCAAACCAGCCAGGGCATATTTATTTTTTTTTAAATATATTTTTATTGATGTCAGAGGGGAAGGGAAAGGGGGAGCGAGAGAAACATCAATTATGAGAGGCAATCACTGATCAGCTGCCTCCTGCACGCCCCCTAGTGGAGACCAAGCAGGCAACCTGGGCCTGTGCCCTGACTGCAGAATGGAACTGCGACCTCCCGGCTCATGGGCTGATGTTCAATTACTGAGCCATGTTGGCCAGGCTGGGCCGGCCCCAACGTCAGCGTCTCCCTTCAGTCTAGGGCGCCAGTCTGTACATCCCTCTGCCGCCCCCGACTCAGGGCGCAGAACACAGCAGCACCGAAAAGGATGGCCGTCCCATCCTCCCCTCCCTGCCCACTCACCAGCTCCTTCTTCACCTCTTGCTTCTCACTCAGCTTCAGGTTAGCAGAGACCTGAGGCCAGAGAAGAGGCGGTCAGCTGTGCGTGAGGCCCGGTCCTCAGCCCAGGCGGAGGGCAGCAGCCTCACCATCATGGCCTCCCACACGGTGAGGTGCGGCAGCAGCAGGTCGTCCTGCATGATGTAGCAGGACATCTTGCGGAAGGTCCTCAGCTCCCGCGGCCTCCCGTTGACCAGGATCTGCCCCTTCATTCCCGACTCCCTGCGGCGGCGGCGGCATTGGGATGGGGCCCAGGCCGCTTCAGACACCTGCGGGGCTCCCCGGGGGGGGGAGAGGGTCCTCCCTGGCCCTGCCCCACTCCCCCAGCGCCGTCCTCACCTGTATCCTGCCAAGATGTTCATGAACGTGGACTTGCCGGCCCCTGAGGGGCCCATGATGCCAATTAGCTCCCGGCGGCAGAATTTGCCCGACAGGCACTTGAGGAGGGTCTTGTAGCCTGCAGTGACGAGGGGGCAGAGTTGACTGAGGGCGGGGTGAGCGGAGCTCTGGGCTTGGAGGAGCCACCGTGACTGTCAGGGCAATGGCAGTCCTTGCTCCATATGAAGCGGAGGATGGAGGACCTTCAGAGCCACTAGAAATTGCCCAAACCGGTGTGGCTCAGTGGATAGAGCGCCGGCCTGCGGACTGAAGGGTCCCGGGTTCAGATTCCGGTCAAGGGCATGTGCCTTGGTTGCGGGCACATCCCCAGTAGGGGGCGTGCAGGAGGCAGCTGATCGATGTTTCTCTCTCATCGATGTTTCTAACTTTCTATCCCTCTCCATTCCTCTCTGTAAAAAAATCAATAAAATATATTAAGAAGAAGGAGGAGGAGGAGGAAAAGGAGGAGGAGGAAGAGGAGGAGGAGGAGGAGGAGGAGGAGGAGGAGAAGAAGAAGAAGAAGAAGAAGAAGAAGAAGAAGAAGAAGAAGCAGCAGCAGCAAGAAAGGAAGAAAGAAATGACCACCACACTGGTCCCAGCCGTGACCTGACCCTGGCCGGTGTTGCACAATGGCTAGAGCTGACACCCCAAGCACTGTGGACTGAGGGGTAACGGGTTTCATTCTGGTCAAGGGCACAAGCCTGGGTTGCAGGCTCCTTCCCCAGTGGGGGGCATGCAGGAGGCAGCCAATGACCAGCGATTCTCTCTCATTATTGATGTTTCTATCTCTTTCTCTCCCTCCCTTCCTCTCTGAAATCAATAAAAATAGATTTTTTTAAAGTACCAGAGGTGGCAATGCTCTTCTGAAAGCCCTGGGGAAACCCCACATCTCATGGCTGGGCATGTGGACAGGCCAAGGTTATAGACAGCTGTCAGGTTTCAGGCTCAATCCCCAGTAGGGGGTGTCACCGTCACCATCTTTCATCATTGATGTTTCTCTCTCTCCCTCTTCCTTCCTCTCTGAAATCAATAAAAATATATTTTTTAAAAATCTGAGGAAAGATCTATAAGGGTTACAACAAAACTGCCCGGCTGCTGTTGCTCAGTGGTTGAGTATTGACCCATGAACCAGGAAGTAACTGGTTCACCCCAGTTAGGGCACATGCCTGGGTTGGCAGTCCTTGCTCCGTATGAAGCAGAGGATGGAGGAACCTTCAGAGCCACTAGAAATTGCCAAAACCGGTGTGGCTCAGTGGATAGAGTGCCAGCCTGCGGACTGAAGGCAAGGGATCTCTGAAATCAATGAAAATATATGCATGTATATATTTTCATTGATTTCAGAAATGAAGGGAGAGGGAGAGAGAGAGAAACATTAATGATGGAGAGAATCATTGATGAGCTGCCTCCTGCAGGCCCTCTTTGGGGATTGAGCCTGCAGCCCGTGCCTGTCTCTAATCGGAAATTGAACCGTGACCTCCTGGTTCCTCGATCAACACTCAACCACTGAGCCATGCCCAGCTGGGCAATAAAAATATATTTTTTAAAGTGTAAATAATGCACAATGCAGATCAGACAATGGGACTGATCATTGGGAAGGGCAAGGGGAAATCAGGAACAGCTTCCCGGAAGAGGTGGCATTTGCACTAAGTCAGGAAGGAAAAGCAGATTCCAAAATGGAAAGGGAAGGCAGAAGTCCTCCAGGCCGGGAGGAAAAGCTCTCCTACGGCACATCTCTGCCCCCAGCCCGGAGCCCCGTGAGACGGTGGAGAGAAGGACGAGCCCATTGTAAGGTTTGAGGCGCAGGAAACTGACCACCAAGGCATTTTAAAGTAAAGTTTATTCCCCAGTAATGAGCGGGACTCATTACGGAGGTAGAGAAATCAGAATTGAAGGAGGTGGGGGGTGGGGGTGGAGGAGGGAGAACCTTATATCCATGAGGGGCCGAGCCTGCTATGCCTGCAGACCTGGCTCTGTGAGGCAAACCACCCGTCAATGCCCTGCCAGGTCCTTTCCCTCTGGCTCCTCTCTGACCCCCACAGAGCCCTCCCCCTCCGCTCTGGCTCCTCAGCAGACAGGGAAGGAGGGGACTCCTCACCTCCCCCCGCACCCAGCTGCCCGCGGGCACCGCCAGGGGGACAGCTGCTGCCGCTGGGCTGGGCCAGAGCCACCGCCCGCTGGACAGTCTTCACCGCTCCGGTCGCCTGAGTGACCTCCACCCCAGCGGCCCTCTCAGGAGGCAGCATCCACCTTCAAAACACACTCAGGGCTGCATCTGCGAAGGCTAATTCCATTTCCCTCAACTGTAACGCAAACTGAATGAAGAAACTGATGAAGATTTGAAAGTTAAAAGAAAGCAAAAGGTGGCCTGGCTCCCAGGATATTCCAAGGCACTCGTTTTACACATGCTGACGGTGCTGACCCCGAGGGGATGCGTGCATTTATCAGATCCAAACCAGCCCGGTCAGCCCCGGGGCTGGATCCGCTTTGGTAAGAAAATCTCAGGAAAGTGTTGTCCCTTTGGCTGACACCCCAAGCACCGTGTACCTGGGGGTATGCAGCACTTAGAAAGGTAAATCCTGCGCAGGTTCCAACAGGAAGGCCGCTGCAGCTCACTCACAACGTTCGGCACCTTTGCTGCTGCTGTAGCAACACGGGTGAAGGCCACGGCCGGATACTGGTGACTCCCCGAGCACTCCCAGGCCATGGGCACGCCACTTCCTGGCGGAGGGGAGGCACGTGGTGGACCAGAAGGCATGCCTCTGCCCCTCAGCACAGCCTGGCAGACTCCGGAGCAGCTTCTCTGGCGGTAGAGCCAGAGACAAGGAGCCCTCCCTGTGAATCACAGCCATCACCGTCACCGTCACCTCACCACCACCGTCACCTCACCGCCACTGTCACTGTTACCATCACCTCACCGTCACTGTCACCGTCACTGTCACCGTCACCTCACCGTCACCTCACCGTCACCTCACCATCACCGCCACCACCACCTCGCCGTCACCTCACCGTCACCGTTACCTCACCGTCACTGTCACCTCACAGTCACCGTCACCATCACCTCACCGTCACCTCACCATCACCTCACCGTCACCGTTACCTCACCGTCACTGTCACCATCACCATCACCGTCACCTCACCGTCACCTCACCGTCACTGTTACCTCACAGTCACCGTCACCGTCACCATCACTTCACTGTCACCTCACTGTCACCTCACCGTCACCATTACCTCATCGTCACCGTCACCTCACAGTCACCGTCACCTCACCATCACCACCACCGCCACCTCACCATCACCTCACCGTCACCGTTACCTCATCGTCACTGTTAACCTCACCGTCACCGTCATCTCACCGTCACCGCCGCCGTCACCTCACTGTCATCGTCACCTCACCGTCACCTCACCATCACCGTCACCTCACCGTCACCTCAACGTCACCGTCACCTCACAGTCACCGTCACCTCACCATCACCGTCACCTCACTGTCACGTTCACCTCACCGTCACCGTCACCGTCACCTCAACGTCACCGTCACTGTCACCTCACCATCGCCGCCGCCGTCACCTCACTGTCACCGTCACCGTCACCGTCACTTCACCGTCACTGTCACCGTCACTGTCACCGTCACCTCACCGTCACCTCACCATCACCGCCACCATCACCATCACCTCACTGTCACCTCCCCGTCACCGTCACCTCACCGTCACCTCACTGCCATAGTCACCGTCACCTCACCGTCACCGTCACCATCACCTCACCGTCACCTCACCGCCATAGTCACCGTCACCTCACCATCACCTCACCGTCACCTCACCATCACCGTCACCTCACCGTCACCTCACTTCACCGTCACCATCACCGTCACCTCACCGTCACCTCACCGTCACCGTCACCTCACTGTCATCTCACTGTCACCATCACGTCACCATCACCGTCACCATCACCTCACCATCACTTCACCGTCACCATCACCGTCACCGGCACCTCACCGGCACCATCACCGGCACCTCACCGGCACCAGCCTGCGTGCCGCCTGAGCCAGGCCCTCCACCTGCCTTCCACCGCACTCCCACGGCAGCCTCGGAGCTGCGGGGCCTCCTACCCCCAGCTTACAGCGAGGACAGTGAGGCCGGAGCGGGTAAGCAGCCTTCCCACAGTCACATCGCTTTTTTAAAAATGTGATTTTTTTATTGACTTCAAAGAGGAGGGGAGAGGGAGAGAGAGAAGCATCAATGATGAGAGAATCATTGACCGGCTGCCCTCTAGGGAGCAAGCCTGTGCCCTGACTGAAACGGAACCATGACCTCCTGGTTTGTAGGTGCACACTAACCACAGAGCAAAGCTGGCCGGCAAGGCCACTATCTTACAAGTGGCTGGGAACCCACGTCGGGGAGTCCTGCTGGACCATCACTACTCAGCATGGAAGGGACCTGGCAGGCCTCCGGGCAGTGGAGAACAGGGTTCTAGGCCCACCTCAGTCACTCTCTTTGCAATTTTAAGTCCATCTTCCAGAGTCTCCATGTCCTTAGCTATGAAATAAAGATAGCGACATCTCCTACCAAGGATATAATAGGGCTATTGTGAATTTGAGATAATTAGTTAAAAAGTGTTTTAGGAGATCCAACCATGAAGTTGTATGTATATATGCATAACCCAGGAGGAGGGCCTGAGGGCAGGGGCAGACGGAGCGGCTGGAAGAGGTTCATGGGGGCGGGGAAGGAGAACCTATGTAATACTTTCAACAATTAAGATTTATTTTAGCCCAAGCTGGTGTGGCTCCGTGGATAGAGCGTCGGCCTGCAGACCGAAAGGTCCCAGGTTTGATTCCAGTCAAGGGCATGTACCTTGGTTGCGGGCACATCCCCAGTGGGGGGTGTGCAGAAGGCAGCTGATTGATGTTTCTAGCTCTCTATCCCTCTCCCTTCCTCTCTGTAAAAAATCAATAAAATATATATATTTTTAAAAGATTTATTTTTGAAAAGTGTTTTGCCTGGACCTGGCTGGTGTGCTCAGTGGTTAGAGTGCTGGCCTGCCCACCAAAAGGTGGGAGTTTGATTCCCAGTTGAGGGCATATATGTG